CTCGCACCCTGCCTTCCGATCACCATCATCATCGGCCTCCGTTCAGCGGTTGAACAACAACAACACTCTCCGCCGGGCTTTCTTTCTTTCTTGTTGTAGTGTTCGGGGTGTCCGTCGATCGTTGCTCGCCTAACAGCAGGCCGTTTACTCAGCCGAACTTCTACGCGTGAGCAGCCTACCGATGTCTGCCCCATCACGCTGTGCGGCTGCCACGAGCTGCCATCTTTCACGGCGATTAAGTTGCAGCAGCTCGTGCTCACCTTCGAACAACACCCGGAGAGAATCCGGTCATTGCTGAGGTAAGGCTTCAGCGTGGCCATCTTGCACGGTGTTTAAGTAGCAGAAACCGAGGTGAATCTCGCGTTTTCCCTGTTTATGTTCGTGAATTTGGATTCTTTTTTTTGTGAATTTTCAGATTTGGTTAAATTGGTGGAAATTTAAGGCATATTTATGTCTCGTTGAGTTGTGCCTTTGCTCTGTTTTAATGAAGTTGATTACATGTTTATCATGCTAGAATTGAGCCTATTCAGAGCCTGTACGTTCTTTTATTTGTGGATCTATTTTATGTGTTAATAATTTATAAAAATAAAAAAATAAAAAAAAAATAAAATAAAATAAAAGGAAAGGAAAATTAGGCATGTATGGGTGTTGTTGTGACCCTGCTGTTACCATTTCTTGCTAAGGTTATTATGTGATTTTCATGATCATAATGAGTGCTTTTCAGATCCTATTTCCAGTAGTAAGTTTCAGTTTTATTGGCTTCTAACTGTTGGCAAAAATTAAGAAAGATTTGTGTAGAATAGAGAAGAAAGAAATGATTTGTGTTATGTGTTCTTGGCTTGAGTTATGGCATGATTTTACTGAGTTTCTGAAGCATATTTGAAGTGGTTCAAATGATGAAAAAAAAAAACGTATGCTTAAAGCTTTGTATTAAGTTTGTCCAGCCTTGTCATATGATGTGTACTGGTTGAGAGTAAAAGGTGTCAAATGCATGCTTGTTTTGTTGGGTAAATTTTGATAGAAAATGTATGTTATCCAAATGTTGAAAGTGGTCTTACGTGTATTTTACCTTTAATGATTTGTTTGTGGTTTTAAAGGATGACATTAAATTGTAATTGCATGGTACTAAATTTATATTGAATCAAAATCCTTTGTTTGAGGTCAGATTAAATTCGGATTGATTTTGTTTGTTGCCGCTGTGAAATTTTACGTGAATATTGAAACTCTCTCTTGTTGTGATAAATTGAACCCGATTTTTGTTTTCGAGCCTTTGACCTTGTTTTTCGCGTAGAACCCGTCATTGACCTCTGTAAATTATTATTTTTTTTTGTTCTAGGTTTATAGTAATTATGTTATCTTGTGAATAGTATGGATTTGTGTGATGATTGGTTGAATTGGATAATCGAGCATTAGTTCCTCTTGTTATGGGTGACTAATGGTAGTTACATGATGCTTTGATGTGGTTTCGTTGAATTGCTTTGGATTTGAGATTATAGAAATGAAGTGTTCATTTTGCATGCATGCTAATTTGAACTATGCGAGCTAAGTTGAATAACATAAATATTGTCATAAATGTTCATATATTAAATAGTCATTGATAGGATTATTTTTATATAATGTAGGTGTTGGACGAAATGTGTTCTCGGTCTACTTTTTCTCGA